CTTTTTCCTCACATCTCTGCTCTATTATCATCCTTGTGGTGGAAGTCAGATTCTCCTCATCAGCACAGTATGGCTGCCAGATGCCCTGGTATCATATACTTCTTTATTCATAACCCAGATGAGAAAGCACTCTTCTTCTCTAATCATTCAGCAAAAGTCCTGAACTTCACTAGGGACTGACGTGGGATCTGGGCTCACCCTTGAATCAATCACTCTAGCCAAGAGAAAGATAGGCTCTAATGCACTTAGACCAGGCAGGGTCTGCTCACAGAGCTGAGACAGGCTCTTGGCTGCTACTCCCTGGGATAGATATTGCAGAGGTCACTCCAATGACCCCCCCCAGAAAGGGTTCTATAGTTGTTAAGAAGAATTAAGACTCAAAATGGGATTATAAATTAGAAAATATGGTCTTAAAAAGTGAAGAATCTGAAGTCAGAGTCCAACTTCCCCACTTGCATGATCTTGGGCAAATCTCTTACATTTTTTTAGCCTCAGTTTCCTTATCTGTAAAAGTGAGATTAGAATGCTTGTCTGGGGGCTGGCGCTGTGGTGTAGAGGCTAAGCCTCTACCTGAAATGCCGGCATCCCGTATGGGTGCCAATTTGAGTCCTGGCTGCTCCTCTTTCAATACAGCTCTCTGCTGATGGTTTGGGAAAGCAGTAGAAGATGTCCCAAGTGCTTGGACTCCTGCACCCACATGGGAGACCCAGAAGAAACTCCTGACTTCGGAACAGCCCAGCTCTGATTTGAACCACTGGGTGGAAGACCTTTCTCTATCTCTCTTTCTGTTTGTAACTCTATCTCTCAAATAAATAAATAAATAAATAAAATCTTAAAAAAGAATGCTTGTCTTGCAGAACTATTTTAAAGATCCACATAGATAATTTCCAGTGTTGTGCAGGAGCCTTCTGGAAATGTCCTTTGTGATCCCTCTGGAGACTTACTTGCTTTAGCCATTCCGACCCAGTCCTGGGCCACTTCTCTGGAAGGGACCCTGAGCAGGTGTCTGGCCAGCTCTGAAGGAACCGTGGGAGCACCATAAGCCCAGCCCACCTGGAGCAGATAGAGACCTGCAGAATGACCCAGAAATGGCAGGTATTTGGGAAAGAGGCTGCTGTGGGCTCTCTGCTGGGCAGGAACCAAATGATCTCCTGAAGGGCACATGGAAGGTCTATTTGCATTTGTGATTTCACGTGTAAATACAATGACAAACGTTCTTAAGGGCTGTCTTTAAGCAACAAAGAGTGAAGCCCAACATTATCCTTGGGGATTTCTCCAAGTACTTGGAAACTGTGCCGGTTTAGGTTTACTACTTAATGAATTAGAGACTTTCGTATGATGAGCTTGAAGGGCCTGGAAGACTACCCTCTGAAAACTGAGACAGACTCGGAGTGCTTCCATGCGGTACTGGCCCATCGGTTTTTCTCCTGAACACACGATGCCTTCAGCGGCAGGCCAGCGGACACTGAGACCCTGAGTAGGCCACTACTGTTGGGTAACTGGCTGCAGGCAGCCCGGAGTTGGGTTCCTGTGCAGCGAGGGAGCAGACAGTGTGCATTCCTGGTGGTTTCCCACCTGACGTTCCACAGGGACTGTGGGTCACAGCGGGGGCACTATGGGAGGCTTGTGGTTAGGGCAGACATGTATGCTTCTGTCCTTTTCCCTCCGTGGACTTGACGTCTAGGGCCAAACTGCACCCTGCTACTGTGGCTGAAAATGTTTTTGAGGAAAACTTTTTGGAAAAAGTACTGCAAGCACAGAGGGCACCGCAAAAACCAAAACTACTTTGACAAACACGAGGTGATTTATTTATGCGCATGGTAAGGTGCATTCGACTCTGAGAGCCCTATGCTTCCAGCAGGTGTGGGGGTCTCGGCGCCAGTCAGGAGGGCAATTCCATGCACAGTTCCCAGTTTCCAAAACCAGTGTAGGCTCATTAGTGTGAGACAGGTCACCAAACCATTTCACATTCCAACTCTGTCTTACACACTGCAACTGAGAGAGGACCTAAGTGAACAACCAGGACTTCTACAGGGTTCTATTATAGCATGTATCTTGCTGTAGGAGAGGATTTGTGTGTGTGCTACGTTCATGTGCTGGATAACAGACGACAGATTCCTTTTCAGAAATACATTTATCCCACTGCCTGACATCTCACAGCACCCCGTGGAAACTCATTCATAATCTGTTGATGAATGAATAAATGAAATTAATTGAAGTACATCGTGTTAGAAGATACTCCTTCCAAGTATCGTTAGTCCCACAATAAAGTACAACATAATTTGATTATAAAGCTCTTGAATTTTGTTATTTCATTAAGTATCTTCTCATTATTAAAAACTGTTCTTGGGATCGGCATTATGGCACAATGCCACTTGCGACACTGGCATGCCCTATGAGTACAGGTTAGAGTCCCCACTGCTCTTATCCAGCTCCCTGCTAATGTACCTGGGAAAGCAGCAGAAGATGGTCCAAGTATTTGGGCCCATGCCACCTATACAGGAGACCCAGAAGAAGCTGCTGGCTCTTGGCTTCAGCCTGGCTCAGCCCCAGCCATTGTGGCCACTGTGGAGTGAACCAGTGGATGGAAGCTCTCTCCCTCTTTCTCTGTAACTCTGCCTTTCAAATAAATTAATCTTTTTAAAAAATTCTGATTTCTTTGTACTCCCTGGGTCCCTCTTATTTTTCTTTCTGAAATTCTAAAACTGCTCTTCTACCTGCCTATTTGCTCTGTGACAGCTACTCCTAGACTTACTCAAGCCCACATATCCATGTCCTTACAGTTCTCCTGTATTTGTGTTCTCCTATCTGCTCTTGCTAATCTCTCCTCTCTCTGTTGTCTTAGGCTGAGCCTCCTCCTTTCCTGTAGACACTCGGATATCAGTGTAAACAGTGAACAGCTGGAGCGGTGCAGTGGGTGAAAATGGAACAGATAAATTATATTCAGAGAGCCAAGGGTCAATGACATGTGAATGTCACTGAGCCCCTAAGTGAACCAGTCCCTCCCACCTCCCCACCCCCGGGAATGGAGCGAGGAGCTGATTGGCTGACACTTCCCAAGCCTGACCTGCTCTAACACCCACCCTTGTCTGGCTCACTCCCACTCATTCTTCAAGGCTCTGCTTAGTATCATGCCCCCAGAGAGCTGTCACTCTTACCTTATCTCACTCTCACCTCCTCAGTCTTACTCAGACTCTCATTAGGAGCTCTCCTCCCTGCTGTCCCTTTCTCTTCACGGCTCTCACCTGGATGATGGCCACATCCTCAATGACCGCTTATCTAATTCACATCTCTCTACACTGAACTGGATCTTTGGGGCAAGGACTGTTTCTATCTGTTCACCACTGCACGCCAGTGCCCAGCACAGTGGCTGGCACATTCTGGGTCCTTAGAAATATCTGTTAGGTGAATAAATTGGTAGTAGAAAATCAGATGCCATGTGGCCACCAAGACTGTGACCTGGGGCTGATGTGACAAGAATTTTGAAGAGATGAGAGTGAGGAGAGGAACAGCTTTTGTGACAAGTAGCAGCTTGCGAAGGGCTCGTAGAATGAAGGAAAAGAAGGACTGGGGGCAGAACCATTCTTGAGTGATTATGACTGATGGCAAGTTTGATCCAAATGATGAATCTACTTTTGTATGAACAGATGGACAGAATGGAAATTAAAACAGACAGTGCTATCATCTGAAGCAAGCAGATCCATGTCTTTGAAATAAAGCACTTTGAATGCAGGCCATTATGTTTTCCTGGCATTGTTCTGTAAGAGTCCTATTAAGTAAAAAGCTCTGTTAAATGTAAGTAGTGTGGAGTAGTGGAGCAAGGAAGAGCCCAGGAATGCTGACTCTTGGCAAAAACACTACAATGATCTGAGTGCCACGCAGACCCTCATCCCTGGGCTCTGCAGTACTGGAACCCATGTGGTCGGAGACTAACTGTGGGCTCCTTGTTCAGAGTCCCCTGGGCTTCTCTCAATCCACTTCTTCAACCAACGCATTTATCATCGGAACAACATTATCAGTCTCAAAAGAGTTCATTAGGCTATTTGAAAAAATTTTTTTCTCAAACATTTTAGCCACCAACATTCATTAACAAGTTCTTCTGCCTCACCAATATTCTCAGTGCTTCTCCATCCAATTTAAAAAAAAAAAAAAACCATGTTATTTCTCTCCTCTCCTTTTTTTTGTTTAGAATTTGGAAGTAGTTGACATCTTTAACATTCAACTCACAACATTTTTATTCAGAGCTGAAAGACACTTGAGAAATCATCTGATTTAATCCATTCATTTTAAAAAAATGAAGTTTTTTTTTTTTTGACTATTTATACAGCTAAATTCAGATGAGCTTTCTCTGCCCATAGAGTCAAATTCGGACAATTAAAACTGGGGTGGCTTGTAGTCAACTTGAGATGGAGGTACAGAGCAAAAGCAAAGGCTAAGAAAACGAGTGCAGGGCCAGAATTACTGACCAGATAAAGTCACTGGAAGCTGAGAATGTTGACCTTCTCTGAGCTATGTTCCCATAGTTCATCTTTTAACTTGGAAAAACAGGCAACCAGAGTTCATTTATAACCTACATTCAAACCCCCTAATACAATAAACACAACACTGCAGGAAGACAATAAATGAAAAAAGGCATCATAGGCTTTGGAGCCAAGCAAATCTAGGTTTAAATTCTCACCAGCTGATTAACACTGGGGAGACCTTGGGAAGACTTGCATTTTGAAATCCCTAGGATGAGGATAATAACGCTTACAATGTAGGGCGACTGTGATTTACAAAGGAAACGGTATGTACCAGATGCTAGTGGATACACCAATGTTTCTAGCTGCCATACTCCTAACAGTCAGTGGGTAGAAACCCCCAAGTATCCATCAGCATAGGAATAGATAAACAAAGTATATCACCGAAGTTGTGTATATTTCACCACAGTATATGGAAACATAACAAAGCAAAATGAAACGCTAGGGGAATGCCTGAGACACAGCATCCACCCATTTCACCTGTTCTAAGTAATGAAGTGACAGGTTGATGTACTTGGCCTCGGTTAGAAGCTGCCCCCCGACGCCAGTCTTTGCCACTCGCTCTGAACCAGCCAGGTCCACCAAGTGGAGTTTGGCATGTCGGACGGTTGCAGATCCTGGTTCCTTGCTTGACAAGTGAACAGTGAAAATGCAGTGGGAACGGGTTGAAGCTTGATTCATAGGAGTCTATAAAAAAAAAGTTGAAGAAAAACACATCAAGAAATTAAAATAATAAAAGAAAACCAAAAGATTTAAATTTGCATTTCTAGTGATAAGACATTTCTCAGGAAGCCAACACTCAGGTAGAGAAAAAATACTCATGGCTGCAACTCTTAAAGTCAGTTCTTCTTAATATATGACCTCCTGGGTGACCAATAGCAAATGTGGTGGAGTTGAATCAGAAAGTAAGAGTTCTGATGAGGTAGAGACTGAGTCCTCTTACCAATACGATACGTTCTGTATGCTAACCTTAGCTAGCCATGTTGAAAATGCTTAATGCCAGTTCAACAGAAAAAGAAGTGAGAACATGGGCAACAAGAGCATTCATTATCTCAAGTGTAAACACAGTCCCCAGTGCGCACCATCACTGCCGCTACTCAACACTGAACTGGGGGTCCTGGCCAATAAACAAATAAGACACGAGACTGGAGGTCCCAGCCAATAAACAAACAAGACATGAGAGTGGAGGTCCCGGCCAATATAATAAACAAACAAAAATGAAGCAAAAGAGATAATATGATAGGAAAAGAAGAGATCAAAATGCCATTATGTTAAGAAACTGCGATAAGGGCCAGTGCTGTGGCACATCCCATGTCCGAGTGCCAGTTCAAGTCCTGACTGCTCTGCTTCCAGTCCAGCTCCCTGCTAATGTGTCTGGGAAAGCAGTGGAATGTGGTCCAAATGCTTGGGTCCCTGACACCCACATGGGAAACCTGGATGGAGTTCTGACTCCTGGCTTCAGGTTGGCCCAGTCCCGACAATCATGGCATTTTGGAGAGTGAATCAGCACCTAAAAATCTATCTCTTTCTCTCCCTCAATCTTTCTCTGTCACTCTGTCTTTCAAATAAATAAAGTAAATCTTAAACAACAAAAAAAGAAACTACATTAATCTACCTAGGAACTTCAAGATAATCTACAAATAAACTGTTAGGAACTAAGAAGTTTGTCAAGCTTGCTGGATTCTAGATCAATATATGAAATCAATGAAGTTCTAATAACCTAGCAACAATGAGTCAGGAAGTATGTAATCTATCAGGAAATTATAAAATATTAAATGACATGAAGAGTAAATTGGAATAAATGACACAATAGATATAAACATATCATTTCATAAATGAAAAACTTAAAACACTAATTTATCAATGAATATTTATATATTTACCTATATATTCAATGTAATTGATACAAAAATGTTGTAGCTTTTGCTTATTTAGTAAGAGAGGTTCTAAAAATAATATAGAAGAGAAAATCTTCAAATAAAATAAAAAGTAATTCTGTGAAAGAAGGAGGGATGGGGACTTGTCCTGACATAAATCAAGATCTACCATAGAGCATGGTTATTAAAGCCCCGTGGCATTGGTGTAGGAGCAGACAAGCAGCTCAGTGGAGCACGCTGTGCTCATTCAGGAACTCTGTGTAGGAGAGTACAGAGACGATGGACATTCTGATACATGGTGCTGGAGTAACTGACTACTTACCTTGAGCAAAAGTAATCACTTAATTTTCTTTTAAAGTCTTATTTATTTGTTTATTTGAAAGGCAGAGAGAGAGAGAAAGAGAGAGAGAGAGAGAGAGAGAGAGATCCTCCATCTGCTAACTCACTCCCCAAATGCCTGCAAAAGCTGGGGCTGGGCCAGGCCAAAACTACAAGCCAAACACTCACGTCTTGGGTCTCCCATGCAGGTGGCAGGAACTCAAGTACCTGTGACAGCATCTGCTGCTAGGATGTGGGTATTCTAAGCAGAATCTTAAGCTGCTGTGCCATAACATGTGCCCCTAAAAGGAGAAATTTAGGTATTCTCTTGTGCTATATACAAATCAATTCTTGAATGGATTGAAGCCAAGTGTGTAAAATAGCACAATGTTAACACTCATACAAGAAAATATGGAAGCATATTGTAATCTACCCAAGGTAGTGATGAATACCTTAAGATAGGACAGAAAATTTAAAAAAATAGTTGATTTCAGCTATCTGACCAAATAACTCAAAAATTTAAAACTTCTATGTGATAAAAATCTACCATAATGTTAAAAATATCCTGGAGAAAATATCTGTAATGCATATGGCTGAAAAAAATTAATATTTGAATTAAAGAGCTCCCACACATCAATAAGACAAGGAGCTCAGAAAAACAATGAGCGAAAGGTATTAAGTAACCCATCAAGAGGCAGTCCGGCTTCTGCCCATGGGTGCTGCGGGGGAAGCAGTGTCAGAGCCGGCATGGCCACGCCAGGGTCTCTGCAGGAGCCTCACAGCCGGGGAAGTTCTGCCCAGGAGCAATGGAGAACGTTCATGGACAGTGTGGTGATGAGAATGCCAACACCAACCGCTCCCAGGGGCTGTGGGCTGGTCGCCCACGCCACCACAGATGGGACAGAGGCAGCCACGAATGCAAGGCCACATAAGGTGGATGCAAGAATGGTAGGACCACAGAGGGCCATCTCAAGAGAAGATTCTCAAAGCCCAGGGGCCCTCCTCACTGCGACAAAGTTCTTTGCTGGTATCGAAGAAGACACTTGAAAGGCACTGGAGATGGTATTGGACAGTGTGGGAAAATTGAAGGGATTCAGATCACAACTGACTGACGGCAAAGGCAAGGAGAGAGGCTTTGCTTTTGTGACCTTGGGTGAGACTGTCATTCAGAAATACCATCCTGGGACAGGTCACAACAGTGAAGACTGGGGGAAGCAGGAGATGGCCGGCGCTTCTGCCAGCCCAAAGGGTCAGAGCAGTCCTGGGAGCTCTGCTGTGGTGTGGAGGTGATTTTAGTGGCAATGACAGCTTTGGTTGTGGAAGACATGTCAGGGGTTGCGGTGGCTCTGGTGGCAGTGGGGATGGCTACAATGGATTTGGTAATTGTGAGAGCCATTTTGGAGGTGGCGGAAGTTAATGATTTTGGCAGTTACCACAATCAGTCCTCAGATTTTTTACCCGTGGAGGGAGGAGACTGGAAGCAGAAGCTGTGGCCCCTGTGCTGGGTGCCAGACCACAAAATCACAGTGGCTCTGGGGCTTCTAGGTGTAGCAGCAGCCGTGGTAGGGGCAGAAGGCTTGAATAACTGCCAGGAAACAGAGCTTTGAAGGAAGGGGAGAGCCAGAGAAGTGACAAGGAAGCTACAGCTTGCAACAGGCGCGGCAGGGCCCAGCGACTGTAAAGAAAACCTGCTTTAGCCAATACTCATGTGAACGGGCAAAAAATTGTGAGGATTGCATTGGACTAATTCTGTTAACAGGTTCATTTAGTTTCTATGGAACGTGTAAAACATTCCAACAAAGGGTTTTTGTGTAGTGTTTTGCTTTTTTCCCAACCATGCTGTTGACTGCTAAATATAACAGTCCGATTATGATACTGAATAAATGTGTCCTTTTAAAAAAAAGGAAGAAGTCTAAAAATGGTTAAATATGTATTTGAAAAAGAGCTTAAATTCGTCAGTAGTCAGGACTATAGAATTTCGAACCCTAATGATAAACCATTTCACATCCAAAGGACTGGTGACATTAAAAAAAATCATAAAGTCTAACACAACAAATGTCAGCGAGGGCCTAACGGCATGGAAACTTCTATATACTCCTGGAGACTATATAAGCTTAGGACATGTTTTACAGAAATGTAACAGTCTGTGGCAAAGTTGCAAACCCCAATCTAGCAATAGACTAGCAGGCATAATCTCTAGAGAGAACTCCTAAGCAAGTACACCATCACAAGTCATATGCCCAAGGAAATTCACTGCAATGTTATCTGGAATAGCAAGAAACTGGTATAGGCTATACAACCCAAAGGGGCTTTTTCATTCAGCAAAGATGAATAAACTGGGATAATCCAAACTACGGGGAAGTTGAAGTGGATCAACTTTTGTATAGATCGACACGGATAGATTTCTAAAATAGAATGCTAAGGAAAAATAGCACATTAAGAAATGATATGACCATTATGACAGAATTTACATAATTGTTTTAAAAAGCAGTATCATCAGTTGTCCATGGAGCTATGACTTAAGTCATTAAAAGTGTTTTAAAAAAAGAACAAGAAGGACCTGCAAATTAATGACAGTGGTTGCCTTTGTGAGGGACAGGAGTGAACGGCCGCCCCTCGGCACTTCTACTTTATCTGCAACCCTCTGTTTTATTTAATAATCACCAGAAGCAGATTCTGGGGTTGTAAAATCATGAGTGTTGGTCACAGTATGCTCTGTCCTCTTTTTTGTATTTTAAATGTTTTACAAGAAAGAAACGAACCTGAGCCAAGATGCAAGTGATGAGCTAGCAGTATCAGCTTGTCAAACAACAAAAATCTAAAAATATCCCAAATGAATATTTATATGAATAAATACATTCAGATCTCCACCTGTGAAAAATGGGGCTTAACCAAAGAATTTCAATATGGATGCACATGCATTCAGACAAGGATAACGTATCTGGTTGCTATTTCAACCAGAAATTCTTTCTGTAAATATAAATTCTTGATACACACCATAGTTGATTTACACCAAATTGCAAACACACAGATGTCGAAATGCTGGCATGGTTTTGGTGATGACGATGTAGCTAGCGAGTTAAATAGGCTGAAAATTTGACCCATTACTTTCTGCCACAGTAACTATAACCAAAGCTAGCCAGTGTGTGATTTTGCATGCTAAAGTGGATCAGCAAATAACTGTGCATGTAAAACCGCAAACTCAAATTTAGAATCTAAGTTGAGGTGTTTTGGAAGTGACTGTAAGTTATTTGCAGAACTTAAACATGGGTTTCATTTCGCTGTTATAGTCGCACGACAATAAATCCCAAAGTACTGCAATGACAGTCAAATTAACAATCGATATAAACCAATAGCATTGTGACTACTCTCAACCGCTGTCTTCGGCTTCACAACCGATACACAGAAACCACAATGTGGACCATTAATGGATACTGGAGGAGTGTACCCATTTCAAAGGAATAGGAGATTTACAAAAACTAAACTTCTATT